AGTAAGTTAAGTTAGTATGTATATATTATATAGTATATATATATATATATATATATATATATATATATATATATATATATATATTACAAGTTTAAAAGGTAGACCAGTTATATGGCAATCTGTTTGACTACATGATTCTGTAGTTTGTACAAAAGTTATAGGTCTTCTTTTTTATTTCCAATATTCACTATTAAAGAGAAAACAAAAGTCTACAAAAGACATTTTCACACATGCCCATTATCTGCAAGATATACAGACATAGAAGTGGTATTTAGGAGGTTGAACTAACATGTAAGTTACACTTGTTTAGACATATTGGAGTAGAAGGCAAGGTTTATTGTGAAAGTTTCTACTCGTCAATGTTTACAGTTTCTGCTGCCAATATTAAACAAACATTCCCTTTATTTTCCAGTTAAGTATTGTAATTTCTCTATTTAGTGCATAAACTTGCTGAATATGCTTTAGCAGTCTACTTTTTCTAACTTTTTACTTTCTACTTTGATGCATATTCTGGGATATTTTACAGATCTCTCTTTACTCAAACTTTCCATAACCAGTTATGGCTAAATAATTTGGTAGGATAGAGATCTTTCCAACATCCAATGAGTGTTAGACCTTCTGGTCAATTGGGTGTCAGGAGGCTGATAATGGAATAGTTTTAGGTGGTCGGTGCAATGTCTAAGTGCCATCTCATTTCACTCGTGTGTCAGATTTACGGTGGAATGGACATTTCTGTAACAACCAATTTAGCATACATATTAAATCATTGACTGCTGATTCGCCTGTAGATTACAGTTTGCCTCCTGTGTTGAATGCGAGTGTGCTGTATACAGTGTACGGGTCACAAAAATTCGGCATGTGTCTAAGCAGCCTCAGTCAAAGGGTTAAATAAAAAGCATTTGAATAGTGTACTGTACAACCTAAACCGAGGAAAAATTCCCAATATTTATTCATCTCTATCATTTGGAAATAAAAAAAAAAAACAATAATTTTAGCAATAGCAAATAATGGTGTAGTGGTTTCTATATTTATTTATCAGTTCATAATTTTATAATTAAGAAATATTTATCATTCATTTAGCTGTCATCTTACACCCTTTACTTCAGTTAGTGAAAGTGTTAGAAAGTTTAACAGTAGCTTATGCCTGACTATGAATTTATGACACATAAATCACTCATGTGATATTTCATGAAAATCAGTCATTGTACCCTTCTCTATTTTGAGGATTGACAGTTATAGTTCTGTACCATTCTCTATTCCTTGCTGTCTACATTAACTTTCCTAATTGAAACCTCTCATCTTAAATATGTTTTCTGATGTCGTTCGGCCAAGAGTCTCTGTCTGCGTTTTGATCTTTTTCCTTCGGTTTCACCCAACAAAATCTCTTCCAGTTGTCCTCTAGATCTAATTATGTGCTCAAAGTAGCACATTTTCTGATATACATACCATTTGTCTTTACACATTCCAGTACTTCCTCATCTGTTTTTCTTTCTATTTAGTTCATCTTTAATATTCGTCTATAACACCACTTTTCAAATGCTTCCAACTGTCATTTTTGTTTCAGCAGACAGATTCTACGTTCCCACCTCATAGAGTTGGATTGACCATACCTAATATTTGACATTGCTCTTGAGCAATTCCTTGAGATTGAAGAATTTTGTTTTTACTATTTACATTATCTTTGTTTTTCTACACTTTCCATCAATATAAGATGATATTCATCCCTAAATATGTAAACATTTTTGCTTGTTCCAACTTTTTACCTTCTGCTTTGCACATTCTAGAATCTTCTTCAGATTGAACTTTATTTGATCTTCCTGTAGCTAACTAGGATTAAATACTGTAGTATTATGGCCAGGCAGATGTTAGAAATCAGGCACCAAGAAATGGTTATTGAGATAGTTTTAGGTGATCAGTGCAATGCCTATAAATTCTCTGATGGAAACCCTCCCTTTCCTCCCCCCATGTCTAAACCTTTCACGAAAAAGCTGCTATGCTGTGAAAGGTCAATGATTTGAAATTTTGCTGGATTTTATTTTGTTCAAACAAAACTTACAAGTACACCATGTGTACTTACTTTAACCCCTTCCGTGATTTGTCCAGGATAATTACTTTAACCCCTTCCATGATTTGTCCAGGATAATTCAAGCACACCATTTTTCACCATGTTTTTAATTATTTGCACAAATTCATTTGCTTTTTATCATGTATTACAATCAGTGCTTCCTAGATGGCATTGGAAATGTTGTTTTTTGCTGATCTCTGTCAGATTTATTCTGAATTATGTATCAAGTACTCTAGTCAATAGAATACATTGTTTTCTGGTAATAAAAAAGTCATATTTTTGTCTGTAACCTGTAAATTGGTTTTTGTTTTGATTGTTTTCCATTCTTAGTTGCTGAAATGGATGTTGAAAGTAACATTGATTGGGATGAAATTGAAAACAGCTTTTTGGAAGTGAAATTACTATTTCAGAACAGAGTAGTTTAGACAGTGACAGTGATACTGCTGCTGCCTTATTACAATCTTGGGTATGATGCAAAGTAGACATTACCAGGCAACTCCCCCTCCCCTCCACCTGGGTTCCAATTTCATGGTGCTTCTTCATTGAATATCAATATTCTCCCTAATGGTGACACTTTGCAGTTTTTCTTTTGATGACGTATTATTAGATATGATAACAACAGACTAAACCATTATGCAGCTTAGTGTCTCCAAGCATGCCAAATTAAGTTTTGTCAATCTTGTTGCAGTGAGTGGCATCACACAACAAATGATATGTACGCCTTTCTTGCCATTATAGTTTTACAGATTAGTGTGTGTATACCTGATCAACAACTTTTTAGTCCAAGAATCCTCTTGTTACCACTCCTTTTTTTCTCCAAAATTATGTCTCACCAAACAATACCTTCGTTTCTCTAACAATGATACTTATGATCCAAAAAATCACCCATGTACAAAGTTAAATAAGTTGTGGCCTGATTTTGAGTATCTAAATGAGAATTTCAAGACAGTGGGTATATTAATATAATCAATTCATAATTGTTAATTAACCAGTTTTTGACTTTGTAGAGTGTGCAGGAGTTTATATTTATAAATATAAATACTAGACAGCATGCAGTGCATGTATGTATAAAACTCGTGCACTTACAAAACCCAGTCCATGCATTATTCCAGTATTGTTCAGTAGTCCCTCCAATGCAGTGTTTACAGACTCTCCTTATAGCTACAGGGTGTAAATATAGTAGCTATATATATTTTACAAGCATATACATGTGTTACGTTGACCACCATGCACCATAGTATTCATACATACAGTACCACTGTCAATGATAACATTGCCACAATGTTATCAAGAGCAATAGCTATCTAATCTGCATGAAGCCAATCCAAAGGTTGTCATTGTTTCCTGAAAGAGCATCTTACACCAACTATGTACTTCATCAAACTAAACTGTTTAAAATAGGACAGTATTGCTATTATACAGATTTATGTCCATGATGGACATAAAATAAAACTAGAGAACAATCTTATTAAAAAATTTTAATTTAAAAAGGGGGAATATGGATCTTCAAAAAACAAGATTTGTAGCTTGAGGAAATAATGTCAACACTGTTTCAAACCTTAAGTTTGTTTGTTTACCTTTTTAGTGATTGCATTTTCACTTTAAGCTACCTATCTTATTTCTGTATTTTTTTTTAAGATCCCTTTTCCCCTATTTTGAATTAACAATTTTTAACAATGTTGTAATATTAGATCATTATATTTATTTATTTATGGCAATAAACATTGGAGAAAGCATTTCTATTCTTGACCATATATTTTGTGCAGAATCATAAAACAGATCATAAATAACTTTTGTTTCATTAATACATAAGTACAGGCTATCAAAAAGTGAAATAAATTTCTTTTTTTTTAGTTTATCCCCCCCCCAAAAGAAAAACTGAATGGGTTAACTTGTGAATCCTATTTAAAAAAAGATACATACAATAGGTTATATCTGATTGATATTTTATGTACAATAAGTCATTTATATAATAGTATTTCATTAAAATCTATTTTAAAGAAAAGAATTACATTTTCATTGTAAAAAGTATTCAATCTATTACCACCTTTTTTATGTAGTATACTAAGAGAAACTATTGCACCTCTTTTTATTGAGTTATCAAAATTATGAAATATGTTTATGCTACAAAAACTTTTTTTTTTTACTTTCTGATTAGTGCAAATGATTTTGCTAACTTCTAACTATGATACTGTAATAATGTTTTATCACGTAAAATTTTTGTTTCGAACATAAATATGTACATTATGAAAAATGAGTATATATATTTTCTAGTGTGGATGATCAACTACAAGTTAAGGTAACAGATAATGCCTTATCACGTGACCTCTTTTCAAATGACTACCATTGCCTCGGTGATAATGAAAACCGACCAGTCAGATGGTTAGCTCTAGAAAGCTTACTTAAAAGAGAATTTTCTACAGCCAGTGATGTGGTGAGTATAATAATCATGTACTTAAAGTTTACTAGAATGCTACTGTATATATTTTATTTTATGTGAGTTACAGATGGTGTAAAATTAATAAGGAATCTAATGCATTGTTAATTCAGCTTGAAGTATTACTATCTGTAGCCAGTTCTATCAAGGAACTTATCTACTGTTTCATGGGATTGTTGTATTGTGTCCTTCTTTACCTTGTCTGTGTAGGACTGCATCTGTCATATGGACAGAGTTACTTCTGGATTCTTGTAATTCTATCATTAGAGCAGTTTTGACACTTTGTTTTATGTGTTCTTCATGCTGACCTTGGATTGCCATATTTTATTTCAAGTTCACTTAGTGTGAGTTGACCCTGTTGTAGAGCTCTGGATTTCAAAGCTGGTGAGCTGGATTCAAATCTTTGTGATATCACAAAATATTCCCCACATTTTAAGCTATGTATGCATTATAAGAGTGACAATCAGTCTCTTAGCATGAATGAAGAGTAGTATGTTACTGCTGACTTGCTGCCTTCTGTCTGGTGAGTTGTGCATAATTAGGGATGGTGGCAAACAGCCTTAGTAGCTTTGCTGTAAATAGAAATGCTGAAATAATTTTCTTTCTAATCACCTATTTTTTTGGGGGTGAAAAACTTTTTCAGAGTTCTTTATCAGAAACTTTTGTAAATATTTTAAAATAAAATATAACACAAGTTTTACCTCTCGTATCTCTAGAAAGTGTTTTTACTTGTTTGCTGAAAGTTTTATCTATTATCATTCTCCAGGAACAAACAACATACACAATATTTTTTTCTTTAGATATCGGTAATGTTTTTGTTTTAACATGAGTTTAATATTCTAATCAGTGCTGTGGACTTTAAAAATATTCCTTGTTTAGCTCAATGAGTACCTTTGGAATTATGGTAGCAAGCTGACTTAATTCTAATCAAGTTTTCAAATCTGTCTGGAATGCTAGTGTGAAAGAAAAAGAAAAATTTTCATGTCACGTAAAACTAGATAACTCATAACAAAATGTAATAATCCAGTGAGGGCGTAATAAGTCCAAGTATCTATGTGTGTGTGTGTGTGTGTGTGTGTGTGTGTGTATATATATATATATATATATATATATATAGTATAATATGTCTAGTAGTAGGTATAGAAACGTAAAACTTTAATAATTAACTTAATAATAAC